TGGTCCCCTCACTCCCTTCTACTACGTCAATGTCCAGCCCTCTATCTCCCACTAGTCATGTCAGCACGACCACGACAGAGATTGGCACTCACACTGACACTTCGACATCTGCCACCTCGATCACAGCAACGTCCTCTGCTCACCACACTACGGATAGGGTCATGACTTCTACCACTGACATGGCAACAACCCCCTCCACGGCCAGAACCCAACGTACTCTGGCCGTCACCTCTTCAAAGAGCTACTCCACCGCCATTACTCCCTCATCTACACTAAGGCCAGTTCCCTCTACTCCTGGCACCGTGCGGACATCAACAACCAGAATCCCATCTTATGTTAGTACGGAAATCCCTACCAGCACCAGGCAAACAACTACTCCCACATACGCAGGTACCACTGGGTTTCCGACTGACATGAATGACCTCACCTCAACACTCACCCCTTCCGGTATTCCTGGTACCCCCACAAATATCTTCACATCATTTCCCACCACCACCAATACGAAGACAACACACAGTGTGACTGCAACCTCAGTCAAAGCGCCTACTCAAGCAAACACACTCACAGTCACCCAGAGCAGTCCAACTCCATCGCTCATTACAAGCAGTCTAGTGACATCTGCAGGCTCCATAGCCAGCAGCAGTACCATGGCCACTCAGACACTGAGTCCCACCTCACCTGCAACGAGCCCTACATCACTCCACACAAACGCCGAATCCACCGTGGCATCCACTATAACGGTTTCGTACACGACAGCCACGAGCACAGAAACACCGTCCTCCACTGTAGCCACTACACAGACAGGGAAGACGACAGACACACCTTCTCATGCCACATCCACCCTGAACACCACCCCTAGTCCCACCAATGATACCTCTCCAGAGTCTCTCACAACAGAGCTAACGTCTACTCCTCCATTGACATTTTCGATAACTCCCACAAAAGCTATCAGTTCCCCCACTTCTATCACTTCTATTCCAGTGACCACCCTTACCTTGACATCAACCACCAGTGTGCCTCTGACCTCTCCACCTTTCTCTACCACACAGCTGGGTGACACTAGGACCACGACCACAAAACCTGTGTCCACCTTGATCACCTCACTCCTTTCTACTACGTCAATGTCCAGCCCTGTCTCTCCCACTAGTCATGTCAGCACGACCACGACAGAGATTGGCACTCACACTGACACTTCGACATCTGCCACTTCGATCACAGCAACGTCCTCTGCTCGCCACACTACGGAAAGGGTTATGACTTCTAACACTGACATGGCAACAACCCCCTCCCCGGCCAGAACACAACGTACTCTGGCTGTCACCTCTTCAAACAGCTACTCCACTGCCATTACTCCCTCATCTACACTGACGCCAGTTCCCTCTACTCC